TTCACAAGTAGGATTGAATTTTGGTTTAGTCTGAACAAAACATATCAAGTGACCATCATGTGGTAGATGCTTCATGTATATTTTCTCTAATTTCTTTAATCCTCAGAAGTATCAATGTAAACTAGATCTTCAAAAAGTTAAATAAATTGCCTGAGATTATTCAGCAGGTGAGAGAACTAGAGTCAGTTGTATTCTAAATGCAATACTCTACAGGGTCAAGCTGCCACCTCAGAAAGGTCAAAGTTTGACTCTAAGACCAGAACCCCTACTCAACTGAGGAGAAAAATGTTTCAAGAAGAAGCTGCTCCTGCTGGTGCAGTTCCCTACTGACAAGCTAAAATTGAGCCAGGGCCTTGGATCCTGTAGGTGTATAGTACAAAAAGGTAAAGAAACATTCTTCGAACAGAATATGGGATGTTTCCAGAGTCTGGTGTCCATCTATTCACTGTATTGGACTTCTTCTCTTCTAAGAAACTCGGCTATAATTATGACTCAGTTGATGGAGTAGCACAGGATAGGACTTCCAGATCACACTAATAATTAAAATGTGAATATCTTTAAATGGTCTCAGTTTAACAACTGGTATTTCTGAATAACATTTTAGACTCTTAAGTTTTCCAAAGTATGAAATGAAACAATCTAAAATTGCTTGGCAGCATATCAAATACATACTTCATAAGTCTGATGTAGAGAGATTAGGTAAACCTTCAGATTACTTGTTGGAATTTGTTTTATACTAACTCACATGATCAGATAGCATTTTAGGGAACTATATATATATAGGTAGCTGATATATCACCAGTGTCATTTCACTGATTCTTCTTGGATGTCCTCTTATTCACAAGATTTTTTATGAATGTAATAATCTAAAATAATTTTCTTTGTCAGTTTACATTTTAACTCTGACCAAAATTTATAAGTCCTTGCAAGGAACATAGGATCAACAAAGTAAAATGAAGACTAAAAATGTTCACTGGGTTTCAAAACATGAAGGCCCAGATGACTTCTATAAGCACCATTTCAATGGCGTAATGGATACAGAGGAAAAACTGGTTGAAAAGAGAAAGGGAAAGGTAGAAAAGATAGGGAAACGAAAAAATGGAGGAAGTAATATGTAGAGATTTTTTCAAAATGTGGATTCTAGAGAGAGAGAGAGAGAGCCAAGACAGAAGATGCAGGGTGGGGAAAACTTCAACTTAAGATCAGAGACTTGAGCCCAGAGCTTAGAAATACTGGGAATGAGAATTTTATCTAATAAGAAACATTCATAATTTACAATAAATATTTTTAAAAGACTAAGCTGGTCTTTTGGAACTATCACTAGCTTACATTCTTAGCCAAACCTACCTAATACAAACATTTAAACATATTTTTACTTTCCATCACTTCTTCTCAAAATAAGGTAATTTTAAAAGTATGATAAAGGTGATTCATAACAGACTGATATCTCTCTTCTTCTTGCTTAACGTAAGATAATCAGATATAGAATTTTAGGGAGTTTCTTACTGTTACACTATATACTTTATATACAACAATGACATTAGTGATCTAGAAAATAGTACAAGAACCATGAAACTGTTCATAAACCCTGTGATCAGTGGCTTATGTGTTGAAACATCTTGGCTAAACAAGGGTTTAATAAATAAAGCTTCCCTATTTTAACTCCTATATCAAAGCTAAAATGTCCATGTGCTGATTTAGTTTTAAACCAGTAAAGATATACTGGTCAAATTAAAAAATCAGGTGATACCAAATAAATAAGAATTTCTGAACTGAAATGTTCTGACTGACCAGAAAGTACCTGCTGATTATCTGATTTTGTAATGAAATCACTAACAGAAATGCCAACCTAGAGGATTTCAAGGACGTTATTAATTGATTCTTTATAAACTTCTATTCTGATCCTTTTAAGGGGCTTCCCTGTTAGCTCAGCTGATAGAATCCGCCTGCGATGCAGAAGACCCCGGTTTGATTCCTGGGTTGGGAAGATCTGCTGGAGAAGGGATAGGCTACCCACTCCAGTATTCTTGGACTTCTCTGGTGGCTCAGCTGATCCTTTTAAAACACTTAAGTTGAAAACGACTGAATAGGTTATATTCAAGAAACTTTTTACAGGGTGAATCAAAAAATAGTGTAAATAGAGTCCAAAGAAGGAATGAGACTGCCCACGTGTGTATGCCACAAGTGAAAAAAATATTCAAAGAAATGTAGCATCTAGCACATCTCAGGTACAAGGGTCAAGTCCAAGTGGAAGGGCAGCACAAAGTCTGAAGAAAAGTCTGCAAAGTGAGCAAGTTTCTAATGCAGGACTCAGATTATCCCTCTAATCAAATTCTTAACAGTGACATATACTTTTAAAACTTATAAAGTCATGAGAAACATATTTGGGGGTGTTTCATTATTGCAAACAGTTCTAACAGTTAGAATCAGACATGGCACAATGAACTGGTTCTAAATTGGGAAAGGAGTATAGCTGTGTATTGTCAACTTGCTTATTGAACTTATATGCAGAGCACAACATGCGAAATGCCAGACTGGATAAAGCATAAGCTGGAATCAAGACTGCAGGGAAAAATATCAATAACCTCAGATATGCAGATGACACTACCCTTATGGCAGAAAGTGAAGAGGAACTAAAGAGCCTCTTGATGAAAGTGAAAGAGGAGAGTAAAAAAGCTGGTTTAAAACTCAACTTTCAAAAAACTAACATCATGGCATTCAGTCCCATCACTTCATGGCAAACAGATGGGGAAACAATGGAAACAGTGACAGACTTTATTTTCCTGGGTTCCAAAATCACTGCAGATGGTGACTGCAGCCACGAAATTAAAAGACTCTTGCTCCTTGGGGAAAAAAGCTATGACAAACCTAGACAGCATACTAAAAAGCAGAGGCATTACCGACAAAGGTCTGTATAGTCAAAACTATGGTTTTTCCAGTAGTCATGTATGGATATGAGAGTTGGGACCATAAAGAAAGCTGAGCACCAAAGAATTGATGCTTTTGAACCGTGGTGTTGGAGAAGACTGTTGAGAGTCCCTTGGACAGCAAAGAGGTCAAACCAGTCCATCCTAAAGGAAATAGATCCTGAATATTCATTGGAAGGACTGATGCTGAAGCTCCAATACTTTGGGCACCTGATGCGAAGAACTTACTCATTGGAAAAGACCCTGATGCTGGGAAACACTGAAGGCAGGAGTTGAAAGTAAGAGCAGAGGATGAGACAGTTGAATGGCATCGCCAACTGGATGGGCATGAGTTTGAGCAAGTTCTGAGAGTTGCTGATTGACAGGGAAGCCTGGCATGCTGCAGTCCATGGGGTCACAGAGTCAGACATGACTGAGCAACTGAAGTGAACTAACATCACTTCTAAACAACTTGTAAAACAAGTCAACGTATACAACAAAATTTATCAAAGATTTAAAAAATAGTAATGAGATTCTATTTTATTAAAAAAAAATTTAATGACCAAACTGTAAAGTTGATGGTGTTGAGTTTTGATAAGACTGTCATCAACCCCTTCTCTGCAATATTGCTTCTCTGCAATAATTTTTCTGAAAAACAAGTGATTCTGAGATGACATGCAGACCAGATTAAAACTTTGAATATGTAGAAAATCTCTTTAAGTGTACAACCTCTACTCAAAAGTAGAAAGCCAAAGGTTTTAATAATGCTTAAACAATGAATTTAATGTGCAGAAGACCTAAACAGACATTTCTCTAAGACAAACAGATAGCCAATGGGCAAATGAAAAGATCCTCAACATCACTAATTATCAGAGAAATGCAAATCAAAACTACAATGAAGCACCACCTTACCCCAGTCAGAATGCTATCATTAAAAAAATCTACAAATAACAAATGCTGGAGAGGGTATGGAGAAAAGGGAATTCTCCTACACTGTTGGTGGGAATGTAAATTGGTATAGTCACTATGGAGAACAGTATGAAGGTTTCTCAAAAAAGCAAAAATTGAGCTGCCATATAATCCAGCTACCCCACACCTGGGCATATATCTGGACAAAACTATTATTCAAAAGATACATGCACCCCATATTCATAACAGCACTATTCACAATAGCCAAGACATGAAAATAACCTATCCATCCATTGACAGATGAATGGATAAAGATGTGGTACAAATAAACACTAGAATACTACTGCTGCTGCTGCTGGGTTGCTCAGTCGTGTCTGATTCTTTGTGACCCTATGGACTGTGGCCTGCTAGGCTCCTCTGTCCATGGGGATTCTTCAGGCAAGAATACTGGAGTGGGTTGCCATGCCCTCCTCCGGGGGATCTTCCTGACCCAGGGATTGAACCCGCATCTCTTATATCTTCTGCATTGGCAGGTGGGTTCTTTACCACCAGCACCACCTGGGAAGCCCGTAATGGAATACTACTCAACCATAAAAAATAAAATGTAATAATAATGCTATTTGCAGCAACATGAATGGACAGAGATAATCATACTAAGTAAAGTAAGTCAAAAACAGAAAGACAAATATCATATGACATAACTTATTTGTGGAATCTAAACCATGACACAAATCAACTTATCTACAAAACGGTAATAGACTCCCAGACATAGAGAACAGACTTGTGGTTGTCAAAGGGAAGAGGGGTGGGAGAGGGATAAAGTGGGAGTTTGGGGTTAGCAGATGCAAACTAGTATACATAGAATGGATAAACAGCAAGGTCCTACTGTTTAGCACAGGGAACTATATTCAATATCCTATGATAAACCATAATGGAAAATAATATAAAAAAGAATGTATGAATATGTATCACTTTGCTGCACAGCAGAAATTAATGCAACACTGTAAATCAGCCATACGTCAATTAAAAAGTGAATTCCGTATCACTTCATTTTCTGAGCTGTACCAAAATACAAATTTTTGCTAACTGTATACTGAATGCAAAGTTCTAAACAGGTGTACAATGGCTCTTTTATTCCATAAAGTAAAGACTATTATACTTTTAGTAGGAAGAAAAATTACTTACCGCTATAATATCTAATGTATTATCACAGACTTTTCGGATTTCATTATTTTTATCATGCATCAGATCTATGAGATATGCTGGAGCCTCTATATAAAAAGTGGTTAAAGATACAAACTGATATTGAGGTTGTTCAATCATGTTAGAGAATCCTGCATTTCTCCAAATTCAAACATTAATCTGAAATCTAACTTTAAATTTTAAAATACAATCATTAATACAAGGTGACCAAAAAATCTAATGTTTCATTTATTTTAAAAACAGGGATGATAAAGGAAAAATATGAGATAAAACTGGGCAAGAAAAAGAGCCAGTAAATCTTGGAATGTATAAGGTCATACTTTTGAAAACATGAAAATTGTGAAAGTTACTAGAGAAGAAGCTCTAGAGCTGCACGGCTGTAAAACTTTCTTGATTGATTTGACCCTCCTAAAAGTTCAGAAAAATTAATTTCAACAGAAACTCACATACAAAGTATTTCACACAATAAAGGAAAAGAATCACTGTCAATCAAGTCAACAAAAAAAATCATATATATGGATGTGGTTATTATAAGGAAGAGAGAACATAAGATAACTTCATATTATTCTAGTATTTCAAAAAGGAAAGAATTTAAGAAAATATTATATATAGATATACACATATATGTGTGTGTATATATATATATATGAAAGAATAATAGGAATCAGTATTAGAAAACTCAGAGAGGTAATTCAAGAAATAACTAAAAATCATTTCAGATATATTAAAACTAAGTTTATAGTAATACAAGATAAATAAAGGCAACAGATAAACTCAATTAAATATAAGGTAAAAAAGAAGAAAATTTGTAAAATTTAAAAAGATGAAAAGAGATTAAAAAGATTAGAAAATGACAGATATTAAAGGTAGGCAAAGAGGATCCAACAACAGAAATTCTAAAGACAATCATGGCAATAGAACGAAACAAATACTATAAACTGTAACTCAAGAAAACTTTCCTAAGATTAGAAAAAAGACAAAGTACAAACACCATATTTGCATACTTAGAAAAATCAAGCAAGGGTGATGAACACCAACTCAAATTCTAATAAAACTATAGTGGCTATAGTGGCTTAAACAAAACCCAGAAACATCCTTTGGTCTTCCTGGCAGAAAGATCAAGTCACTTATAAAGGAAAGGAAAGTAAATTGTCATTAGATTTTATGAGAGATAATTAGTAGACTACAGACTTCTCATTGGCAGCAATTAAAGGTGGAAAAATACCTTCAAATTGATGAGGAAAATAATGGGCAATCTAGAAATTTCATATTCTGCCAAATTATATTTAAAGAGGACAAACTAGTTATTTTCAGATACAGGTGCATTTTATTACTATAGATGTTCACTAAGCAGTATAAGAGAATGCAATCAATTAAGAAGCAAATCAATGTAGAGAAACAGAGGAACTGAATTCAGGAAAAAACAGTAAATGATGAAATACATGCATTAACATACCATGCATGTGTGCTAAGTGGCTTCAGTCATGTTCCACTCTTTGCGACCCTATAAACTGCAGCCTGCCAGGCTTTTCTGTCCCTGGGATTCTCCAGGCAAGAATATTGGAGTGGGTTTAACATACCATAAATCCTAAATAAACAATGGCTTTTACAAAGCAATAATCAAAATAATAGTTAATTTTAAAATGTTATAAAAAGAAAAGGAATGTATAAACAACAGTATGGGAAAAGGGAAGGATAAATAAAGAAAACTTCAATCAAGATAGAAACCTCAATGAATCTAAAAGAGGCAGTAAAGAAAGTTATAATTTCCAATACCAAACAATGTATCTTTTCTGAATATGTGAAGTGTCATTACTTATGATGAACACTGAAAGGATACGTGTTTCCTTGATTATGACATCTCTTGTGGCTTGATGGAAAACCATTTGGTAGAAGACATAAATTATCTGACACACAAATTCATCATCTTCTTGTTGAGCTAAAAGGCAACAGAAAACTTCAAATAAAAATACTAAGTTATATACAAAACTGAAAAACATTGAGGGGAAAAAGTGGGGAATGAGAAAAACCAAAGGTGACAAGGAGACAGGTAAAGGACAGTTAGTTTAAATTATTTAATATATATGGCTGCCATACATCATTTATGTCTTAAATGTTTTTTTCTAAATTACATGATGATCAGTCAAAAATTTCATAATGATATATTTTCATAAGTTTTACTAAGTTTGGGTGCTGTTAAACTAAATAAGTTATGACTTTGTAAAACAAAAATAAAAAATAAGATTTTGAAGAGAGAAATTATATCATCTCTGAGTCCAAACCAAACTATTTGAGACTGTTCATCTCAAAAAGCTGTTATCTAGGAAGAAATGAGAAACAAGATAGGTTTAAGAGAATAGTAACAGTGCTTTAACAGTAATTTTTGCTACATTGACACCAAGTATAAAGAAATTCATTAAATTAACCTCTAAGTCTCTAATGTGAAATGGCAAAACTTACCACCACTTGTGGGGAGGTTGTTTTGGTCCCTTATAAAAATTCTTCAGATAATTTTAATTTGTAAAATAAATCTTGTTCTATTTTGTCTCTACAATGTTGACCTCACAGGACAAAATTGGTTCTTAAAAAAAAATCACACCCTCTAAATTCTAAATTTCTGGTAGAAATTAGATTATTATAAACAGGTTTTTTCTTCACTGAATAATGTTAACAAAATTAAACTGCAATTATTGGCATGAAGCAAAAAGGTAACTTTAGCTCCACTCTAATTAATTATACTAGTAAAAAGAATGTTATGCACTTATACAAACTAAGAAATGGTTATTATCATAAGAAGATGACTTTAAAAGAATTAATATTATGTAATGGCAAAGGCAAATACTCATAGAAATACAATTTATAGGTACTGGCTATGAAATTTGATTTACTAGTAGTTTGACCTCAACTCTTGGCAACAGTTCAGTGATATCTGTTAGACAAATATTTACAGGTCAACATTGACTAGTTGGGCGAAATAAACTGTGATTCCTTCAAAGTCCAGCCATTCCAAATAATTTTCCTCACTAATTTACCAAAGTACCACTCAGACTATTTGGGTTAAAATTTTGTTAATTACTCTGTTGGCATACAATGTTCCCTCACTTAACCCTAAGGGTTTTAATTTTCAAAATCCATTTATTTTCAAAAAATATTAGTATACAGCCTCTGCCTATGATAACATGTCAGAGAACATCAACATATGGTAAAACACTGAGCTGGCTCTGTTATCTTATCTCTCAGTCATAATCAATGTGACAGCAATTTAAGGACCCAGGTCATTTTGTTTCAACTTTCTCCAGCTCACTACAAAATCCTCATTCTCATTATGACAACTACATTGTCTTTAGTTTCACCTCCCAATTACCTAGCCTTTCAGTTACTTCTAACATGAAAACTCCTGGCTGTGAGAAGAGTGTACCAAAGCAAATCCATATATATTACTTGTAGAAATACTTCAAATATGGAGGCACTATCTCTAGATGATCATTAAAAATGATTATGTAAAAGAATTTACATATCAAACTTTTCAAGATTTAGAAGAGAAAACTGGGCAAAAGAATAAATAGGCACCTCACTTTATCTGCTGTATCTAACAGTCAATAAACACAAATAGATACTAATTTCATTAATTATTGTTAGTCCTTCAGTCGTGTCCGACTGTTTGTGACCCCATGGACTGTGTAGCCCACCAGGCCCCTCTGTCCATGGAATTCTCCAGGCAAGAATACTGGAGTGGGTTGCCATTTCCTTCTCCACATTAATTATTAGGAAGGGCAATTAAGATCAAAATGCACTACCACTATGGAGGCTACAATTAAAGACGCTGGATGCTGAAATACACTGGTGATGTAGAATGACTGGAACTTTTGTACATTGCTAGAGGGACTGAAAATTGGCACAACTACTTTGGAAAACAGATTGGCATTATTTTTAGTCAAATATATGCATACTCTCTCTACTCCTAACTATGTGTCTAATAGAAATGAGTAAATATGTTCACTAAATGAAACATTTAAGAATGTTTACAGAAGCATTACTTATAAAAGCCCCTTTCTCTTAAAAAACAAACAGAAAACCCACTCTACTATGAACCAATAGTTAGAAATGAAAAATAGTAGTATATTTATTTACAAAGCAATAAATGGAAACACTTCAGAACACAACAAAGATGAATCTCACAGTTATAACACAGGGCAAAATAAACTAGATTCTCTTTCTAAAAGGTTGAAAACTAAGCAAAATTCATCTATGGGTGATAAGAGGAAAAACAGAACTGCTCTGGAGAAGGTGGCAGTGACTGGGACATGGCAGAAGGGGGATTTCTAGGGTGCTGGTAATAATTCATTTCCTGAAACGAGTGGGAATAACATGAGAACCCTCACTTTAAAAATTCACTGTTCTACATATACCTGTAACTTGTGTTTTTCTTTATGTACACTTCAAAAAAAGACAATTAAAATAATATAAAATACATATATATTATATCTGGTACAGGAAAGACTGAGATTAGAGAGTCTTTTTAAGCTTTCCATATTAGTATATTTAACTTCTACACTAATTAGCTACTTTTAATGTAAATCTGCTATGGGCCAAAGTGCACCCCTCCAAAATTCATATGTTGAAGCCCCAAACCCAAATGTGACTATATTCAGAGATAGGGCTAGAAGGAAGTAATTAAGGTTAAACGAGGTCATAAAGCTGGGGTCCTAATCCTACAAGATTAGTAACCTTATAAGAAGGGATACCAGAGCACTTGTGTACGCTTATGCTTTCTCTCACTCCCCCTCTCTGCCCAACTGCCCCCACCATATGAGGATGTTAGGATATAACAAGATGGCCTTGTGTAAGACAAGAAGAAAGACCTCACCAGGAATTAAATTAGCTGGCACCTCAATAGACTTCCCAACCTCCAGAAATATGAGAAAATGTATTTTGGTTGTTTAAGCCACCCAGTCTGTGATATTTTATTATGGAAGTCCGAGCAGACTAATAAAACAAGGTCCTAGAGAACTTGGCCCTAATAAAATATATTTAGAGTCAGACAAATTTTGTATGAAGTGGAAAATGATGAATCTGGGTCCTTAAGACCAAAATAAAGGTAAGGGAAGACTATCTAGAACTCCTACCCTATGTTGTAATCCTAGCCAATGTGGCTAACTAAATTTATTTAAATTTTATTTAAAATCCAGGTTCTCAGTCCCAACAGCCACATTTCAAGTATTCAACAGCCACATGTATTGGACAGTGCAGATAGAGAATATTTTCTTCATTGCAGAAAGTTTAGAGGACAACACTATATATGGATCCAGGAGGGAATATGATGATTTGAATTAGCTTCCTAATAAACCTTTCTGATTAGAAATCAAGTTATTATAAGGGTTTGTGCAAGAAAAGTGACATAATTCAACCAAGACAAAGCTCAACAGAAAGAATAAATGGCAGAATATTTAGCTTTTCAAGGTTGATAAGAGCAGGGTAGTTATCTATAAAATTGGTCCTCAATCACTTTATAGGAACATTCTCAACCTTGCAACCTAAAGCTATTTGGTATTATGCTATCTAATTCTAGTATAATGTATATTTAATTCATTTTGCTAACTATATAATTTAAGTGGCTATAAGATGACCAATGCAACAAGATAAATAATATATTATCACTGCAGATAATGGGTTTATATATTAGCATAAAAATAAGATAAATTATAATTTACCATTTAGCAACTCAATGAGTGCAGGGATAATCCCAGATTTGGCTAGCAATGCAGCACAAGAGTCATCCATAGATACAGTTCCAATCATTATAACCACTTCTAAAACAAGGTCATCTTCTGCAGCACCTGTGAAGAGAACATCACAGAAAGTTTTCATTGAAATGTCCTGATACAAATCCTTTTATATATCCAAGATTCCAATTCACAGAAAAGATACTGAAAGCTATTAATCAGTTTTTATGAACCTTTAACATGTGTACGAATTTTTCCTTTTCCCAAAGTTCCATGTTCAGAGAATTCCATTCCACAATGACAGTTTGTGGTTTCTGGAGCAGTAGAAAGGTGGTATTGTATTTTCAATAAGTCTTTGAAAATATAAATGAATGACAATGTAAACACAGAAAATAGAAGAGTCATTTCAATGCCTCAAAGAACTTCGTGTGTGCATGTAAACTCATGTAGAGCAGGATGGTTATTTGGTAATTTAAAATAGCAGGATAAAAAAATAGTAAGGCAGGATAGGAAAGGGAAACTAATATTAAGAAAACATATTGTTAGGGAAAAAAGTATATACATATTAAGAGGAAAACGAGTGACTGCTTTTCTGGGAGAAAGAAATTAGAAGTAGGGCAAGAACTAGAGGCCTGGGAATGTAGTATAATAATGATCACAAAATACTGCTCTAGTAGCTTTACCCACAAAAGAGAGAAATAATGATTATGCAGAAGTGAAATACTTAGCACAGACCTGGTTTTAGTTTATCCTTGAGGTATGGAACCAGCTTATACTCCTTAAGAACCAATTCCCAGTCTAAGTCTGGAATGGTCAAATTTGCAAGAGTTCCTAAACATTCAATCACAAACTCCTCCTCTTCATCATTAGAGATCTGAGCAGCAAGGTCCCCAACATAATCCTGAATAAAACAAAATTTAATATAAACTTAAAATATTTCTACAGAAGAACTAATCTAATAATTTAATGCACAGGAAGAAAAAGTATCAAATGTGATTCTCTTGTTTCAATTGTTGTTCTTCAATCGCTCAATCGTGTCTGACTCTTTGCAACCCCATGGACTGCTAACTTGCTAAGGGAGTCTATGGAATTGGTTTAAGACAAGAAAACTGGAGTGAGGTTGAAAAGGTTAGGGACAGGGATCATAAAACAAAAACAGTATTAAAACTTAGGTTGAAATCTGTAGGAGCTAAACTTCCAAGGAAGTTGATAACAAGAAGAACCAACTTGGATCATGAATTAATATTTGACAGGAGCTAAGGAAGAGTTATATTTCCAAACACAGCACTTTAAAACTTCAGTTCCAGGCTATTTTAATAGACAGAAAGCCAAAGACAACACTTACAATAAATAAATTTTTAGTTGGTCCATCATGCTGGGAAATGTTCCTAATCATTTTCATCAGCAATGGATCCTTGAACTTCAGAGCCCTCTTCATGAGCATCTTCAGCCCGTTTCCTGATAATAATAACAGAGAAATTCCCCAATAAAATTAAGGTTCATTTAAATTTAATGATCTTTAAAATTTTCAGCTCTCAAGAAAACCCAATATATACACAGAAAATACATAAATTTTATAGAATATATTAATTTTAATAATTGTATGCCTCTCTATAATTCATATATTATATCAAGACAGAATATTTCCATTTACTGCAGAAAGTTCCCTTGTGCTTAGCTGATCTCCCCAATACGATTACTTTTCTTCTTTTCTCCTCCTCTTATTCTTCTTTTTTGTATTTTCTTTTTAAACACAGATTTTGCCTCTTCTAGAATATCACATAAATGGAAACACAGTATGTATATGAAGTGTGTACCACAAATTTGTAAAATATAAACACTTTTTGATCCATAAAAACAGTATTTCCAGGAATTTATCCTAAGAATATAAAAATGGAAACATGAAAGATTCAGAGAAAGAAAAATTACTGCAGCATTGTCTGTAATAGAAAAGAAGAGGCACAAACTATCCAAACAGCAGATTAAACTATGGAAAATCCTTTAATGAGCTATTTTTTCAGCTACTAGCAATTACATTTTATAAAAGTATTTAATCACATGGAAAGATATTCAGATATGATTAACGTTAAAAAACATGTCACCAAATATACAGAATCCCATTTTAACTTACAATATGCAGAAGCACTGTACCAAAGTTTTATCTATGACTATCTCTGGATAGTGGAAATAAAATTTTTTATTTTTTCCTATTGCTAGTTTGTACTTTTTGATAATTTACATGTATACTTTTCAAGTAAAAACTACTGAGCAAACTCTGAAATACCAAAATGCATGACAAATCATTTTACAAAGATACTACAGAAAGTACATTTGTACTGCACCATCTTACACTGCAACAGACTGCTTTACAAATAAAAAGTTTTGTTTCACCTAGAAAATATTTTTAAAAATCAAATTTCAATTAAGGGTAACTGACAAAACAGTGTATAAAATGTTACTAGAGAGTAAGTCTGCTCATGATGTAAGAATATTTATGAGTCTGGTGTTTAAGGATTTGGGCTATACTTTTTTAAATTATAGAAAGATGTAATTCACATATTTACTATAACTCTTAATTCCTTATTATCTATTATCTATCATTTGCCATTGGCATATGATAGAGATTATCCATGAAGCTCAAAGGCACTAACCTTCACAGATAAGCTGTACATTCCTTTTGTTAGCAGCAAGATTAATGCAGAAAGAAATGAGTTCCAAGTCAATTCGTTCATCTGAACACTCGAAGAGCATCTTCATTAACTAGCAAGAAGCACAAGACATATTTCATTCAAAACACCCCTGAACACATGAAAAACATAGGCAATGCTTAATCACAGTATGTTATCATAGAATGTATGTTGGAAATAATACAATTACATTTTCAACATAGAGTAGGCTTTTCTTACTGAATACTTTAGTGAACTATTAGATGCTCAGTATTAAATATAAGCTTCCAAGTACAGTGGAGAATGTAACAGAAATATTAAAGATTTTGCTTTAAAGGAACTTAAAATATTGTGAGGAAGTAGAGACTCTGAGCAAAGAAAACAGCTTGTGCAAAGGCAGGAAAAAATGTCATTCTTCTGAAGAATTAAAAGAAAGCAAACATGGTTGGAGTGAGGGAAACAGTGATAAGAGATAAGAAGGTAAAAGCCAGAAAATGCAGGGTCTTGAAGTACATGTTAAGGATTTGGGGCTTCATTCTAAGGAAAATGGGAAGATGTTAAAGGCTTCCAAATAAGGAAAGTGTCAGAATAAGATTTATGTTTCAAGAAGATCTGACCAGTATATAAAACAGGCTGAAATAGTCTAAGAAAATGTGGTAAGACCATCTAAAGGGCTAGCAGAAAAGTCCAGGTATGGTGATGGCTGCTTGGATTAGGTAGAGTAGTAGGGATAGAGATAACAAGGACAGCTCAGAGATATATTTAGGAAAGACAATCAAACAGGATTTAATAACTGACTGGATGTTGGCATTAAGGGAGAAGAAGAAATGAAGATGACTCCTAGGTTTATATCCTGAACAACATGAAAAATGGTGCCAATGCTTACCCAAAGACAGAAACTAGAATAGGAGAAAACCTCAAAGGGAAGACAGTAATTGTGGCTTTTGGATATGTTGAATTTAAGCTGCCTATGTGACAGTCTAGTGCAGATAGTCAATAAAAGTTATAAACACAATTTTAGAAGACATGTTCAGACTGAACGTATGATTTTAGGAATTGTCATTTACGGTTGATAACTGAACTTGCAAGGTCTGACCCAATCATCTGGGAATGTATATAAAATAAGGAAAGAACTCTACTTAATAAGAGAAAGAAAGATGGGTATGGGAAGCAGCAGACAGAAAAAGAGGAAGGAAAGGATGTGCTACTTATGCCATTTAGCTATATCTACATTTGTCATGATAAGAGGTCATTGCTATATAATAAAGGAGAAATGACAAATCTTATGCCATACTTTTGAGAAGCTAGTCTACTGTTATTGGCAAATAGTAAATTTACTCAATGCATATTATATAAAGATATTTTTCTCTTAGTAAAATTGCTAACAATATATGGATGTTAATCCTAAAATTTATAACGTACAATTTTCTTATGTTTTATCTCAAGGCAATACCTTTAAGATCAACATGTCTTTGTTGATGGGTTAGACCTTATTCTGTTAAGTCTTGTGGTTAATCTCTATGTTAGTTCCAAATAACTCCTAAGTTTCAAAAAGGATACATAGTCAACATATCATGTGTCTGTAAAAATTAATCTTACTTTTATATACTAGCAATGAATTAAAAACACAAATCCACTTACAGCTGCTCCAAAAAATACTTTGATATCATTCTAACAAAATGATATGTATACATGTGTGTACGTACATGTGTGCTGTCAACTTCAGTCTTGTCCCACTCTGTGATCCTATGGAGCGCCAGGCTCTGCAGGCCATGGGATCCATCAGGCCAGAATATTAGCATGGGTTGCCATGCCCTCCTCCGGGGATCTTCCCGACCTAGGGATCAAACCCTTGTCTCTTGTGCTGCAGGTGGATTCTTCACAGCTAAGCCACTGAGGAAGCCCATATATCTATCTATGTATGTATGTGTGTGTAAAATTCATTTATTTGCTGTGAACTACAAAAACACTATAGCCGGTAAATGGTTAGTATGTATCATGCCTTTCCTCAGAGAGCACCTCTTTAACATAAATATTGCCGCTAGTGGAATCTTTCATCACTAACACTTAAAAATGTTGCAGAACAACAACAACAACAAAAAATCTATGGTGTAGATAAAACAATCCTAAATTACTGGATATACATTTAACAGATTCTGCTACCTATGTATTAACTATCAATTAAAATTAAATTATAAATTAATAAAAATGTAGATGACAGTACTGTAAATACAGTATGTTTTTCACACTTTAATTAAAAACCTACTATATATAGATTTCTTTCAAACTTCTCCTGATATAAGAAGCTTTTTAAAAATAACAAAATTCTGTTTGTTACATCAAGGTAACACTTAAACAAGGCAAGCTATGTTGTTATTTACTTGAAATTAATCTTGTAGTGTGAAACTTGCCCTTAAAAATGGCACTGTAGACGATTTGTTAGAAGCTGAGGGGTTCTGTTTTGCCTTGTTTTTGTAATTTCCATGTTAAGTTTTGTGGTGAAATATTCAGGAGCTAGCTTTTTAAAAAATAATGATGGTTTAAAACCTTATCCAACTACCCACATTCCCAAATCAAGACTAAATGTTAAAGAAACATATCATGATATAGAATTAGTTTTTCACAGTGAGAGACACTTAAATTTTAATTAAAGCCCTCACATTTTAAAATATTAATTTAGTTCAAACTCCACATGCAACATTGTCTTTAATTTGATTGTTACAACGCTTCAAAATAAGTGTAATTGCTAACAACTAGGAAATATTAAAACTAGATTTGTTCTGTTTTAACTATGTCCATTGTCATCTTTTACTAATTTAACAGGAAGGCACTAAAAGGGCTTCAGTCTTTGCAATGAAGAGGCAATAGTGTTCAATCAGACAAGTCCCATATTGAGTATCAGATACCAAAGACCCAGGACTGAAATCACTGTGTCTAGACTCTCTGGCACCTGACTTCACTTATTTACCAGTGACCAGAGGCCAACCCCCACAGCTCGCTATATTCACATACACCTCTACCACCACCACCCCCCCTCCCCAAACATCTTTGAATGATTATGGCAGAACTTTGCATGCCTCAGGAATCTCTTCTGACTGGCTACTCCCTAACTCTGCTGTTTGAAGTGATGCTCTGGTTTCTGAACTTCAGCAGATAATGGCAGGCAGGAGCAAAGGGGGCTGTCAGAAAGGACGTTTACCAGCATTCAGCTAAAAAGAGGCATGTAGATCAAAGAGGGGCCAAATAGGACAACTGTGGTGGAAAACATGTGGATTACTATGAAGATTCTTGCACACTGTTCTAGGGTAAAATATTAAATAACACCATGACATCATTACCTAAACATGTACTTTGGCCATTCTATTACCAATAAATACTTTTTATAAGCATCTGGATGGCATTTGCACCTATTTAAACAAAACATGCATCTCAGAGGTCTAAATAACAATGAACTGTTAATGTGTACTCTTAACTATTATTAGAATACAACCATTAACTCCTGGTTATCCCCAAGTATGCTCACCTGAAACAATTCACCCACTGAGACCATTAAGATCATATATGAAGAAAGACTTGCCCTGACCCCCAAATTTTATAGAATACTGGAAGAGGAAAAAATTAGAATATATTGGATAATTAGAGGTAATAAAATACAAAAGAAGAAAAGCAACCTAATAGTGGAAGAGATTGAGGCATGATGAATTTATAACACCTACTCTGAATGTTAAATAATTTACAAAAGTGAACTCTAATTATAGAGCATCTCAATCTATTTCCACCAAAGTCCAGCTCTTTAAGAATCAACAGAATAATTTTTCCCCAAAAGACCATCATCATGCACCATATACAACCTCTTTAGGTTAATCTAGTTTATGAAATGCTATTCTATGAGCAGTGTTAAGACACTGTTTACTTGGACTAATAAAATTCTGAAGAAATTTAAAAAAGTATAGTATAGGTTCCTTAAGTGTAAACACACTTAAGAAAAGGAGCATTTAAATTGGACTCCGAGTGGTTCCAAAATAGTGAGAACTATTTACTAACGGCATCTTGTTTTAGTACAGTGTTTCACAGTTTATAAAGTTTCTTTACATATATAGCTAATGTAATTAAAGAATATGACCATACCACCTATTCTTTTTTGATTGCTGAAATGAATATGAATGACAATTTAATCACCGCTTTCCTACTCTCAGGCTTCCTATGTGGTTCAGTGGTAAAGAATCTGCCTGCCAATGCAGGAGATGCAGGTTTAATCTGTGGGTCCGATTCGTGGGTCGGGAAAATCCCTCGGAGGAGGAAATGGCAACCCACTGCAGTATTCTGCCTGGAGAATCCCATGGACAGAGGAGCCCGGCAGGCTACAGTCCATGGGGTTGCAAAGAGGTGGACACGACTGAACAACTGAGCATGTAACATTCCTACTTTCAAAGTTATTTTAGGCTTGTCATTGGAAAAATTCATTTGCAATTCTTCACAATATTTACCACACAAAAATTAATGTGCATAATTTTGAAATGAACAAAGTATTACATTAATTCTAACATATTCCAAAACCCAGATATATAGTTTTATTTAAGAAGAAGGTTAATCAGTTGCTGTCACAAATGACTTTAAAGCTCTGCTAGTATTATAAACATTACTTTGAAAAGTCAATATTTCTGAAAGGAGTATCTTTTTAATTTCTGAAGGAAGGTTGGAAATTTCAACATAATACCAAATTTTCTTTCTTTTATTTTACAATGTACTTTCATAATTGGCACTGGGTGGCAATTAAACTGTGTCAATTTTTCCCCAATATGTCAAAGTTGAGCCTTATAAAGTACAAGTTATAGCCTGGATAGCACTTTAGGAACAAACATACTCTAGAGTATCATTTACTTTCTCAAACTATGGCTTCATACTAAAAAGTTTCAGGATGTCTACAACATAATAACTTGAATACATACTTTCACTATTCTTATCAGGGTTGAGCTTTCTAAAAACAGAATATAATAAATTAAAACCCCCAAACAATTACCGCTGAATGAATTTTGGAAGATTCTGTTCATTAAATACAGACCATAAATGTTCTGAAAATCCCTCTGCAGAAATGCTTGATGTTAGAAAATTATCTGGCAAGGAAATATGCATGAATATGGCTGTTGAAAAGCTATGGGAGAATTTTCTACAAAGTCTTCAACTACAATAATATTAATGTCTCAAAAGAAATCTAAACACTTTTATTTCTGATTTATTGAAAATAGCTTTATATGTTATGTTTGAGATTATAAATGCTATGGTATAGAGAGAAGGGTTAAATAAATATTTAATGAATAAAATATTTAACAAAATAAGTTTTCCATCTCTTCTTAGTTTACATTTCTCTTTTATTTAATGTCATTCTCTTTAAAATCTAACCTGGATAAAAACAATCAATTTAGACAAAAATATTATTTTTTTGTCACTGCTTTCCAATTTGTATATTGCAGTCAATGAAGTTCTGACACTAAATGGGCTTGGAAAAGGATACCCTTTGAAATTGTGAAGGAAAACCTTTGGAACATATGGAGTGAGACTGTAGTAAATCATTTGTAATCTCCCTTCGACATGGCTACTCTTTTATTGAAAACTTGTTTGACAAAGAGTTTGATTACACTTTGCATCAGCTATAGTCTGACATGTATTATCTCTGTAAGAAGCCTTGCCATGTTAGATAAAATATGCAGTATATTTGAAGGATGCCTAGTTTCTGTAAACAAGCATAATTAGTTTATCCCCTGATTTAAAAGCCTAAGAAATTATCCTTGAGGGTTTATCAGCTTTTTAATTATATATGGATAAAGTATTAAAATTTTGGAATCACAAATTCAATTTTTAGAACTGTTTTATTAATTGGGATGAATAGAAGGATTAAGAAGAATTAATAAAAAGAAAAATTATGGTCTTATTTTTTACTACATATTAATCATTTGCCAATATAATACACATTTAATAACTTACATTAGGCTAATAAGGAATTACCTAGTAGGAGGCTTAAGAAGATTACTTTAACAAGCACAATTTACTACTCATATTCTTCTAAAGTATCTTTTAAAAGTGTTGCATTTTTATTGCATATTATACATCCTGCAAGTTTCCTTTTATTTATTATTTATGCTGGCTGGGCTGGGTCTTCACTGATGCGCTGTGTTCTCTCTGGCTGTGGGCTCGGGGGCTCCTCTCGAGCTGTGAGCGGCTTCCCCTCGGGGCGGCGTGTCCTGGGGAGCACAGGCCCTGGAGTGCATGAGCCTCAGAAGCTGCAGAACACGGGCTCGCTCAGGAGCTGTGCTTCCCAGACTCTAGGGACAGGCTCAAGAGTTGTGGCACGAGGGCTTAGTTGCTCCAAGGCATGTGGGATCTTCCTGGATCAGGGATCAAACCCATGTCTGTTTCATTGGCAGGCAGATTCTTTACCACTGACCAATCGGGGAATCCCTGCTTTCTCTACTTTAGAAAGCCATATTATAAAAAATAATATTAAAAATCAGCCAACTAGTATTCTGATCATCAGATAGTAATCAAATTAGTAGAGCTCAATTTAATAAAAATTAATGGCACAATAGTGACTTTGAATGTAAATTCTCTAAGAGTAAAACCATATATGTATGTGGTTAAGTGGTAAACAATCCGCCTGTCAATGTAGGAGACATTTATTTGACCCTGAGTCGAGAGTATCTCCTAGAGAAGAAAACGGCAACCCACTTGAGTATTCTTGCCTAGAAATCTCATGGACAGGGGAGCCTAGCAGACTACAGTCCATGGGGTTGCAAAAAGAGTCAGAGATGACTTAGTGACTGAACAACAACAATGAATCTCAACCCTTAGAGTCCATGAAAGAAAAATCACTAAACTTTTTGAAGACAAATAAACCTAACATATGAAATATACCAAACAATTGAGTTATAGCAAAAATCTTTCTTGAGAACAGTGCTATAAAAGAAAGCAAAAGTATTTCAATGAAGAATTTTTTCATCAGAGCATTCAAAGCATTCAAAACAGTCAACTACAAACAAAATTAAAGGGCAAATGATGAAGTTGGGAAATGTCTGTAATATGACAAGGAGAATTAAAATAGTTATTATATATATAGATCTTATGTATTAGTCCCAAAATATTGACATGCCAATGGAAAAATTATCAATAGAAATAAAAGATTTATAACATGTCAACAATAAAAATGTGAAAAATGTTCAACCTCACCAATATTCACAGAAATACAAATAAAAAATCCCAGACATTCCATTTTTAGAGAAATGATAGTATCTAATGTTGTTATAAAAGTGAAATGATAGTTGGGAGAAATCAACTCATGTCTTCTTGGAAGGTAACTTGGCCATATTGTGTTAAATACACAAAATACCTTTTGACCTAGTAATTCTACTTTTAGGAATTAAAACTAAATAAAAAAATCAAGATATGATTAAGCTTCTATATACTATGTATGATTTTTATTTCACATTATTTCATTTGCTTACATATGTTTACTTACATCAGCTTTTATGGGATAAGCTAGAAAGTTATTTTCATTTTTATACTGTCTGTACTTTCAGACTGTATATAACAAATTTATATTATTTTTAGGAGGGAATTTTTAAAAGAAAAAAGCTATTTGACAAATCAAGAGAAGAAAGCAAAAAACACATTTTTTTAATGCCTTTTTAAGAAAACACTTAAACCACTCACCTGTGGTATGCAGTCAGTATATGCAAACATTGATTTAAAGCGATCATCCATGCTTATATGGTAAAGAACACACATTGCTATTTGTTTATAGTTTTCATTGCCTGGAAATAAGACATCATGGATATGGTGAGATTTTATATTATGCTATGCCTTGCATGCAATGACCACAAAGAAATTAATTTTTTGTATAACACACTCAAATTAATGAATTAAAACTTTTAAACTATGGAATCAATAAAAATCCATATACAAATCCTAATTTAGAAAATATGAAATTTTTCTAATTTAGAAAAATATGAAAAATTCGAGCTTCCTATTTCAATTTCCCTGCTTGCCACAACTAGAGAAAAGCCTGCCCAGCCTGGAAGACCTAGCACAGCCAAAAGTTAGTTGAGCAAGCTCCGGGAGTTGGTGATAGACAGGGACGCCTGCATGCTACAAGGAGGGGTTGCAAGGAGTTGGACACAACTGAGCAACTGAACTGGACTGATTTGAATTCCAAAGTCTGGAGCACACCAACTGTGAAATATCACTAAGTTCCAAGAAATTGCATGTATTTTACAAGGTATACTTTTGAAAAAAGTTAATCACAAACTGAAGAATGAATTGTTCTCAGCAGCCCACTAAAATATATATTTGGTCACTGGCCTCCCTATCCCTCCTGTTTTATCAAAATATATAATTAACACATTTCAGTGATAATGTACAATAAATATAGTAAACAAAAAAGTTTATTTAATGTCTATGAATCAGAAACTGGAAAAATAACATAAATGATAAAAAGTAGAACAGTATTTGCAACATTAAAAAAATATATGACTATAAATTGCTAAAGGGTATAATATAGACTAATAAGCATAGTCTAAGGATTGTCTTAGAACTTTGAGGTAAGATTCTCGTTTTATACACCTTGAAACTGAAAAAAGGAAAAGTGAATCATGTATCATAGATTTGAAAAATAAAATGGAACTTGAATATGTCATTTAATCCTTCTACATGCTTTTATATACCATATTTTAAGGATCTTTATATGATCTCAAAGTCAGTGACAAAACTTGAGCTAGAAAAGTTGTTTCACTAAAAAGTTTTATCCAAAAAATAATATTCTTTAAAAAAATTTTTGGCTATAAGAAAATCCTGGGAGATACTTGGAATTAAAAAAAAATCAAGTATGTACATACATTTAATTAATGTATTGAGAAAATTTTAAATATATTTTAACAAGGAAGATAATTTCAGCACCTTTATTCTTGTGTCTACTATAGTACAAAATTACTAAAATACTTTGTATTTTTTAATAATACTAATTTATATTCTTATTGAATTTTTCAGATATTAGATCTATCTTTGTAAGGTGGTTAGCAATTCTGAGAGGACATAAACTTTGGTATTCTTACAGGCTTAGTATATGTAATTTTCTCAAAAAATATCTGCTGACTGATTCCATTTTTAATATTTAAGAAGCAAGGTGACTATACTTAACAATTCTCCAGGCAAGAATACTAGACTGGGTTGCAATGCCCTTCTCCAGGCGATCTTCCCAACCCAAGGATTTACCTGGGTCTCTCGAACTGCAGCAGATTCTTTACTGTCTGAGCCGCCAGAGAAGCTGTTATAGTTAACAATACTGTATTGTATACTTGAAAGCTACCAAGAGAATATATCTTAAAAGTTCTCACAACCAGAAAAAAAGTATTGTGTGAGGTGACAGATGTGGTAACTAACCTTAACTTACCTTACAGTGGTCTAGTTAACTAACCTTATATCTAAACTTAACATATTTTACTATATATATATATATCAAGTTATCACCTTAAACTTACAATTGTTACATCAATTAGATTTCAATAAAGCTGGGAAAAAACACAATGTTATGTTTAAAAAAATCAGAGGCTAAAACTGAAAAAATAAGCACAAAGACGTCACTGGTTTTACAAGATCTTCAGATGTGACAGAGAAGTGTTTTAAGTAAAATTTCCAAGGGTCTTTTACAGGTAAATTTAAGAAATATAGTGAGCCTCTCTCTACCATCTTGTTTTCCTGGAGCTTATTATATGTTAGACAAAAATATATCATATGCTAAGAAAGAACAATGTGAATCTTCAAAACAGTCTGTCAAATCAATTTTGTCATCTTTATGTGTCAGATGGGGAACCTAACAGAGAAAAATACTTCCTACACAGCCATGTTAAGCAGCTGAACAGGGCTTTAAACACAGGTCTCTCTGACTCAAAAATCTTCACCAGAGGTGCAGTTATATACATCAAAGTTATGTTACAATATCTCTCAAATAGTTTTGTATCATAAGGTGAAATGGTCTTTCAAGAGATATTACTAGCAGGTATAAAAGACTGACATACACTGACATATGATAGGATAAAGCACATTTTTAAAACAATTTTTAAAAATCAAGACTTATGCATCTTTTTAAATTGTTTGGCTAGAGCCTATTTCCAGGGACTCTCAATATCAATGTAAAAATAACTTCTTGGCATAAAACGAAAACAGTAAAATCTAGCATATGCTTGTCAGATGAATACATACTAGTAAACACTTTCATCTTGACTAAAAATCTATGAATCCACTATACTCAACCACTTGGAATATAATATATGCAGAACCTACATTTGGAGGAAAATATAATTCAAAAATTGTGAAATAACTCCAAGAAAGAGAAAAGTAGAGACTACCTGGGTATTCCCAACTCCATTATTCTGCTTGGGATGAGAGCAATCTAAACAGAAAAGACTCGGCTTTGCATGATATGCAGATTAAAAATGAAAAAATCCAACTTTCTTCTCTTGAGAGGAAAAGTATCTCTTAGGGTTTTGGTCAGAGTATATATACTTTACAGTATTTAGCTTTTCATCTGGGGTTGAGGTATTTAAAAATCTTTTTAAGGAAGTTCCAACAGTAAACTCAATATTCTGAAGGCACAATCTTTTTCCTTGCTCTTCCAGTTTCTTTCTGTATGCTGTTCAGCTGTGAGGAGGTGCGAGTTCTACTTAGTTTTTACAAAATATTATTTGAAGGTATTTTTCTCTATGTAATAGATTCACTGATAAGTGGGATTCTAAGTCACATAACTTAATAAATAGTAAAAGAAACAAAGGAATCAATATCCAAAATAAAAGATTCTTCAACATCAAAGTAAATCATCAAACATTAAAATTCAGAAGGGCACTAAGAATGAAATACAAAGAAGTGAATTTGCTCAGTCATATGTGACTCTTTGTGATCCCATGGACTGTAGCCCAGCAGGCTCCTCCATCCGTGGCATTTTCCAGGCGAGAGTAGTGGAGTGGGTTGCCATTTCCTTCTCCAGGGGATCTTCCCAACCTAGGGATCAAATCCAGGTCTCCTGCATTGCAGGCAGACGCTTTACCCTCTGAGCTACCAGGGAAGCCATACTAAATAAATGGTAAAAGAAACAGAGAACTCAATATCCAAAATAAAAGACATTTTAATATCAAAGTAAATCATCAAACATTAAAACTCAGAGTAGCACTAAGAATGAAATAGGATGCTATTTTGTTTGAGAAGAGTCTGTCTACTGCTGGTATTAGTTAAAAGATCCTAAACTACAGTATTCTCATGGTACATCCATTTATGAAAGGCGAGAGGAAACAGATTCACCTTTAAGAGATCTGTGCCCCATAAATAGGATAGCAAGGGAGGTTTTCTAGAGCAAATTATACGTGTGTGTGTATACACACACACAAATATGTATTATATGTGACTATGTATCTATATCTTTATCACTTACAAAGGACAACTCAGGAGAAAGGGTATGTGATATAATAGAAAGTCTGTAGTCCTAAAATTACATTTTTAAAAAGTAGATAAATAACATATGCCAGAAACATCTCAGATACAATAGCTTATTAATACACTACTTTTTTTTTAAAACAGCAAAACCCTCTAGTTTCAAAAAGTAGGATGATTCATTGTGCTACCTGTTCTAACTGCGTTCTTCTGTGCTTGCTTTCTCTTTCTCCTCTCCCCATATTCATGGGACAGAGAAAGGTGAAAGCTCCTTGAGTTCTCCTATACCTTCCTAATTCTTCTTTCTATCTGTGATCTTCTATTTTAAAAAACCTCTGAATATATCCCTAATTTCCCATAATCTTTACCTAAAATGATTATCATAATCCCAGAACGTGCTAAAACGAAAGGACTGAAGGGAACAGAAGTTTAAGGGATACGAGGCTATCCCAAAAGACTGGTGCATAGCCAATGTTTACATAACTACAATTCTTTGAGAGAGGGGAAGACAGAATTAAGCAAACTTGATAGTTCCTACTGTATGTTAAGCATGTATTTTCTCATTTAACCCTTACAACAACTGAAGAGGTAGGTATTATCTTTGGTTTGGAGATGAGCTAATGACATTCATTAAGGTTATGAATCCTTCAAAAGGAAACAGCTATGAATCTGAGATTTGAACCTAGGTCTGACTATAAAGCCTGTGTGTATGTACTCTCTAAGTAGGCCTTCCAGGAAACAGCAGAAAGGGTGAAATAAAACCTAATAAACAGGAATTATTATCATTATTCCTTAGAGGCACAGTACAGAAAGGAAATGCAGTTAAGAAGGGACTCTATAGGATCTGGGGGTCTTGGGGGAAAAAAGGTAAGATGATGATAGAAGAGGGGAAGAAGGGAGATGAAAGGCAGAAAAGTAATCAGTTATTTATCAGAGTACCTGTGTCCAGATGCAATAGGTTCCCAATGGATGAAAGATCCTGACAGGGACAAATTTACATTGTCTCCTGAGCAGTATGGGAGACTAGATCTATAAGCCGTTCTGAAAGTCATCCTCACTGAATTGGACAAGAATTGCTGTCAAGCAGAGCTTGATTTTATGAGAAAAACAAGGTGCTAAAAGTTTAAAAGTTGAATAAACTGGTAAATAGAGGCAGTATAACATTGTTGTTCAAAGCCCAGACCCTAGAGGCTGACTGCTTGGGTTCAATTTGTGGCTCTGCCACTTACTAGGAAAAATGGCCTTCTGAGTGTTATTTAAATTTTCTGTGCTTCAGTTTCTTCATCTGTGAAACTGGAATAACAACTGCATCTATCCCATAGAGTTGGTATGCAAG